TATATATATATATATATATATATATATATATATATATATATATATATTGTTTAACCAAGTGAGAAGCCAGAAATTCTGGGACCTGACTTTTAAATAAAGACACAAGTCGGTCTGCTGCTCCTGTTACTAATCCTGCCTGTTTTCTGTCCCCGATGCTCAGATGAAAGCTGTTCAACAGACGAGAAGAACGACTCGACAAGGTGCAAGATTCCTCTGTGGCCTCTGCACACAAACTCTCACCCACAAAAACACACGCGCACACATGGATACACAGTGAAGCATTTCCCCCAGTTACAAATGTGTCGACAGGCTTATTCATCTTTGTAACTTCACTGAAACACCCCAAGTATATATTTATCTGCACACGTGAACACGTGTACATGAATACTCCGTCACTGTGCTTCTGCGTTATTTAAATTATCTTTATGTGCTTCAAAAGAAAGTCTGATTTAGAAAAGTTACCTGATGTGTGTTCTGCTAAGTTTTTCACGTTTGCTCCAATATTATTAGAATCTGCCTGCTTGGCCCTATAACCTGAGGTGTGGATTATTTAAATTAAGTTATTTTGCTCGAGTTCATGGCTGCAGTGAAAGAGCAGCATCAAATGTGTTATCACTATTTATTTTCAGGCTCAACGGCACTTCAGTAAGAGGCGAGATTTATAACAGAATGCAGGAAGTGCAGCTACTCACTCTGGTAAATCATACATGTACCTGTATAAACAAAATAATCAAGATTATGTTAACAAAATGGATCTATTCATAGTAAAAAAAAACACTTGTATAATGCTTTTAAACTTAACTCATACATTTACTGTTTTCTATCATAATTACCGTAATTTTGCCATATAAGTCGCAACTTTTTGCATGAATTGCATGCCCTGCGACTTATACGGCGAGGCGACTTACTTATGTTTTTCCCATATGTATAATCCAATTTTTGGCTGAGATCTGATGATTTCATTCGTTCTGACATGGAAAATATTGAATACTATCATTTTCAGCCGCTAGAGGGCCCTCGGGTATATGGCAAGCCAAGTGTCTCATTAATAGTTAAAAGTAGCTATTAATGAGACACCTGGCTTGCCATACAAAGCCACCTTGAACTTGCTCCTGAACTCCTGGAGCAAACGTCAAATCAGCTGCATTTTGCAGCGCCGCCCAGGAGAAATGCAGCTGATTTGACCATTAAAGTGAATCTATTAAGGAAAAGTTCAACTGAGACACACTTTTGCTATAATTTTGAGCAACAAATAATTGTTTTTAAGTGTTAATCTTGTTAAATTCTTGTTTTAAAGTCCTCCCATGTACGCTCCCACAGCCACCACATCTCAAAGTGTTTTTTTTCTGAATTGTTCGTCCTGCACTTTCACCACAGTCATCATCTGCTCATATATTTCTGCTCCACTGCATGCATAAAGGCTTTGTAGCTCATTCACTTGCTGCTTTACAGGTTTAGTTTTAGTTGATTACATGCATGCAAACACACACAAATAGAGAAGAACATGAATCACATGATGTTACATTTATGATTTACACCAGACCTCATCAGATCAGGAGACTTCAGAGCCCATGAGATCTGTGCGCTTCACTGAACCAACAGCTGGAGGAAACTTTCTGTCAGTTTAGCTAAATGTAAAAAGTCTGCATATCAAAGTATTTCTGCCCTTTGACCTCATCTTACTCTGTTCCAGCGTGCTTCTCTGATGTCCAGCCGTGATTCCAGCTATGCGCTGCCCGTGTCCCACCAGTCTCACATAAATGTCTCGTGCCGTGTGGTTGGCAATGCGCAAATGGAGGCTCCGCCGTGTTGTGATCTTGACCTGACATGTTAAAGCTTCAGCCACCACTACTGATGATGATGATGAAGATGATGCTCGCTCTTCTGCAGCCTCCTCTGGGTGGAATACTTCAAGAGGCCCGGCCTGGCCCTCCTCCATCCCCTCTCTCTGTGGCGTCATGTCCAGTCCTTCTGTCCTGCTCTGGGTTTTACTTTCATTAGTGCTCATGGTTGGATGATCTCTTACACAAAACTCCAAACTACTCTTCATGAGATCACCTCCATCATCACTGCTATATCTGTGCTCAGTGAGCTCCATGTTCAGTCTGACGATCAGCTTGGGCCTAGCTGTCTGCAGAGACCCCAACACCCTGACTGCTGCACACACCCAAACATGTGCACAAAAGTAGACGCCACTAGACTTTAAGCAGACGCATGCCCTGACTGATACACATGCCCTCGGTGATATTAACCAAGGGTGGAGGGGGCATTAGAGGAGGATCAGGCCCAAAGCTGCAGTTTCTATATATAACCAGGTGGTCCTTGGTGTGGAGGGGCAGCTAATCTAAGTGTGATTACAGAAGGGCAGGCCTGACCCACAGTGGGATGGGGATCATTTTCTTTCCTTTCACACATGTCTGTTTTTATCTCTCTTTCCTCCCAAGATACACTTTGATCTGTAAAAACAGTTACGGACCAAACAAGCATTATTCACTAAAGTCCACCGCCTGAGCCCCTGATTAATGAGAAGAGACATCACATCCACGACCCGAGGCTGTGATGTCGGCATGAAATGAGGTCTACAAAGTGAGGTACAAATACACAAATATAGCCAAATGAAGCATCTGTAGCTCTCAGACTTGAAAAGTGTGTGGGGGGTTTTGTGCATAAGAAGGGGGCATGTTGTCCCAACAGCACAAGGTCAGGACTGATCTTGAGTCAGCTTCCTGTTTCTTCTTCTAATGGTTGAGATTAGAGCTCTGAATATAGATGGTGATTCTGGATCATCTTGAGGACACTTTATCCTGAAGTCCTAGCAGCAGCTTCTTGAACCAGTCCTCACTTTACAGTTTAAAGATGCAGGCATGCAGGAAATGAACCAGTTTGTCTTTTGTCTGTGGGATTTTAAAAATACTCAACTAGAAAACATAAGTGAAAGAAAACAAGTTCCTTAAATCAGAGTTTCATTGACTTTGTATTCCAATTTAGTTTATGTCTCACCATTCTTTAAAAATGTTTTCCCCCCTTGAATAATTACCAATTAAAACATTAAATAATTAATTAAGAATAAAGTTCTATGTGTTGTCATATCCTCATACAATGATGAAATTAGTTCTCTCATTTAACCCATCACATGTGAGATACACCCAGGTGGAGCAGTGGGCAACTATGGGCACTCGGGGATTGGGTGTCTTGCTCAAGGACACCACAGCAAGTGGGCATGGCAGAGAGTTGAACTTGTGACTTTCTGGTTCCAAGTCGAGTGCCCTAAGATGTTTAGAACAGAGCGTCACAAAATATAGAAAGAATAAAGTTTGATTTTATTAGTAGTATTTGTTAAATTAAATTTAAAGTCAGTACTCCTCCTGCATTTTGTCAATAATCTCTTGGTTTAAGACCCACTTCTTCCCAAGATGGATCTTTGACCCTGAGCTATGGAGGAGATAATTAGATTGTGCTGAGTGGAGATAAGGACAAACACAGAAAGATAAAAAAATAAATAAAGAAGGAAAAGCCAATAAAGTGAAAATATGGATGTAATTTCTGTCACAGCATAAAAAAAAAAACAAGAAGTCTTGTAAAAATGAATTCACAGCATGTTTATAAAATAATGAAAAAAATCAGAATTCTGTCACAGATGTGAAGTTTTATTTTGGGCTGTAAATTTTGTTTGTTTCTGTCAAGCTGTTTTCAGTTTTGTGTCGTTGTTCTCAAACAAGTTATTCTACCTTGTCTCTCTCTCTCACACACACACACACACACACCTGTCAGCCATCTGTAATCATCTCACCTGTTCTCACTATAAGCTCCTTGTACACAAACACTCCTCCCTTTCAGCCCTGGTGTTTTGATTCTCCTGTCCATTTAGTTTTTGGGTCACTTCATTAAATCATCTTTAGAGTTTCACCTGTTTGTCTGCACTTTGTGTCCTCAGTACCCACAGCTGTTACAGATGCAGGCAGATGTGAGTAGATTAATTAATTAATTTGTCCTTTATTTATACATGTTAATAATATATATATATATAAATAGTTACATAAAATAAAAATTATATGAAAATAATAAAAATAGAGATAAAAAAGAGAAGGCAATGAAATAAAGGGGAACATAAACTGAGATGAGGGGAACAATGTTTGTCAAAGAGGGAACGTTAAGGTCAGAACCCAGCAGAGCAATGATCGCTGAGTGGTTCGTTACTGGAGAAATATCAAAAACTGAAGCGTCCAAACTTAGTGCTGTGAAGCATTCCACCTAGAAAGTTCATTCAACGTTTAAACGTTTCATAACATTCAACTACCACCAAATGATTCAGGTTGCGTTCTTGTAAAATCAAAGTTTATGTATTGTGAAGTTTTTGTTGTTTCTCTCCCGTCCTGCTTCATTTCTGTAGTGAGAGAATAGAAAATGTTCAGCTCAGCAACATCTGAGTGACTGTGCGAGTTTCTGGGAGTGTTTTTAACTCATGTTTAACTCTTCACCTTTTACAGCTTCTGTTTTGCTTTTTTAGGCGAAAATCACCCGTCCTGCTTCTCACTGTTCAAGAATGGTTCTGATGCAGCTTTTCAGCAGCTTTACAGCTGTTTATTTTTTTTCAACTTCTCTCTGCTAATTTCTAGTTTTTATGCTCCCTTCGGCTTCTTTCTGTTAATTTCAGCTATTTTTTTTCTTGCCTTTCCCTGCTATTTGCACTTGTTTTTCTATAGTCTATGTGACACTTAGCTAGCATTTTCTGCTTTTTGTTAGCATTTCAGCAAATCGTTCAACTGTATTTGGCTACATTTTAATCTCTTTAATTAAACAAGCAGTGGCAGTTCAGCGATTAAAACTTTAGAGATGTTTTTTTAGTTTCTTCAGCAGCATTCAGCAAAATAATTCAGCAATTAGCATTCACACTCATGGGAAATACACATTCTTTCTAGTTTATTTTACCTCAGTGTTTTTAACGTTCTAGTTAAACTCTTGCTGTCTTTGTTGTCGGCGTGGTTCAAGAGGAGATTAAGTTTGAAATGATTCTTCTGCATGCTACTTGTTGAGCAAACTGTGAATACGTGGTAAATAAAGGACTGAACATCTGACAGACAGTAAACAATAATCTGTGATGGACATCTCTGCTGCTGTCTTTTACTCCTCATGATCCAATGCATCAACAGGCTGAGGGCAGTTTTTGGAAATGGTTTACACATGAGTAGGTTCTGCACCTTCATATTAGTTGTGTTTAATTGAATCACTGCCTCCTTCCTTTACAAACACTTCTGAAATGTTGTCTCTTGAGTCATATATTCAAAATTAATTCTCTGTAACTTGACTTTAATTTACTTAGTTTAATGTAATGGACTTTAATTTGTTTTGAATTTGCTTTCTTTCCATCCTGACTTCACGATGAGCTCGTGGTGTGAATTCCTCCAAATGTTCTTTATGCACCTTCACCTTCTCCTCCACCACTCTCTTGTATTTTACTGTGACAAACGTGTAGATTTTTGCACAGTAAATCAGGTTAATAGGAAGAAACAATATTAGACTTCGGGTATAAAATCTAAACATAAAAATGACATGAAATGTTAGTTCATAATGAGTCTATCACATAAATATCAAACAAAATAACAAACTGAATACATTTGCTCTAAAATGTGCATTTCTGATCATTTTCTCATGAATTAGGAACATTTAATAAGGTTGTTTAAAAAATGCTTTATAAAATAAAGTGTTATGGATTGGTTGTCTGTAGTAAACAAAATAAATACAATTTATTTGTTCTTGATTGATTTTATCAGCCTAGTGTTGGAAACACAAACCCTTACTTTGAATTTGTACTTATTTTACTTTCACCTAATGATGCGATCAGCATATATACGTTATATTTATATGAACAATCAGTGATGTACAACTGAACAAACAAAATCATTAGAACACAAACAGATGTTTATAAAGTCGTAAACAGAGAGCCAAATGCAGAACTTTGAGTTTTCCTCAATGACACAGCAGCAGATGTTGAACATGTGACTGCTTCTTTAATGTCAAAGAGTACATGACTGTAAAAAAAACACACGCAAAGTCAAACACAGACACTCAGAGGCATGGTGGGAACCTCAGGGAGGATCATGAGGGGTATTTTTAGCGTGTTGCAATTGGCGTCTCCAGGGAGACGAGGCTGATGGAGGGAAGGAAGCATCAGCTGCTCAATTAACTCCGAGCGTTGCACATGAGCAGCTCATACACAAGGGAGACCCAATGTGACTTTCCAGAGCCCTGCACCGGAGGGCAGGAGCGTGTGGCTGCAGTGTGTACGACCGGACAGAGCCGTGTTGTCTTACCGCTGTCCACCACCTCTTCGTATTCGTTGGTGGAGGGAAGAGCAGGTACCAGAGGCTCCATGTTCATGATGAGATTTTTGTGGCTCAAAGAGTTAAAACTTCGACTCTGACCAAACTGGGCCCTGAAAGAAACAAACAAACCCACCCAGTAAGCTTATGCTCTTCTAAAGAGCGGTTGTAGCCCATTTTGATCTTTATAATATCAGGAAATCAGGTAATACCTGAAGTAGGAAGTTCAGTAATTCTATAAAAACATATGTTTGTTTAACTAAGCAGCCTCACCTGTGGACCTCTGGGGGCTCTCTCTGGATCTTGGAGCTGGCCTCTATCACTTCTTTGGCTACTCTTCCACTAATGGGAGGAGAAACATATTTTCTGCATGAAAAACTGCTTTACAGTACTTATAATTCAGTTCTTGAAAAATCTGACAAAACCTTAAATATTAGAAAAATCTAATAAACACCCTAAAGAAAACAGTCAGCGAGAAATGCAAGTTAACGCTCTTAGTTGTTAATCTTTTGTCTTTGTCTTTGTATGATTTAAAACCATTTTGATTTTTTTTAACAAGTTACAGTATATTAACCTTTTTCATAATTATTGAGTTATCTGATAATTGTTTTCTTTAGTTCCACTACTCTGAAGGGTAAAAATGAAGAGTATTTCAGAGCCATCTTCCTACCCATTAGTCTATTGTTGTTGAAATTGGTGGTTAGGTTGTAAATTACAGGGTGAACTGTGTGTCACATTCAAAGATCGTAGATCAGTAAATGTGAGAGAAAATTACTGGAGTCAGCTGAACTAAGGACATGTTTTGCCTCAGTTTGTGGTATTTAAAGCTCACAAATTTCAGAGCAAAATCCTCTATTAGTCATCGATAAGCATCAAAGCCAGGCGGTTTTGGGAAGTTGATGATATGGAGCTGAGTAAAATGTACGGCTGGTAAAGAGCTCAGTCTGAGGGAGGAACTGTGACTAATCTGGTTGCAGAAAAAGACTTTCCTGTGATGATGAGTTCAGAAAATTAGGGGTTTGAGATGCAGCATTTGCAACATTGCAATGAGCCTTTTTGAATTTCTGTGCAAAATTCAGTTTCGCTCTGTTCTGTCTTTCACGTGCATTGTTTATACATTTTACCAAACTTTACACATATTACAGTTTCACACTGCTCTCTAAAAATACACCAACAAAGAACATGAGCTTCTGTCTCACCTGTATCTGAACCTGCTGCCTTTGAAGAAAAGGTTACTGCTCGAAACAGTTTTTATCTGACTTGACTTTGCACACCTGTCAGAGAGAGAAAGAGACTAAAAGAATGGCATGCAAAGGACAGCACTGTTACATAACTTCTGTATTATACACTGCATCACATACTGTAATTCTGAATACAGCAATATTTAGTTGCCGCTCACAGACCCATCTATCAATAAACTTTAGAGGTTTCATAAAAGCATCAATGGTCTTTGCAGTAAAAAGAAGGTGCTTTGAGAAGAATCATTTTTAAAGGTGAAGCTGAACGTCAAACCCTCGTGCTTCATTCTGTTGCTTTATCGCATGAAACCAGACTCCAGAGCAGCAGAGATGGTGCCACAGCACAGACACGCACTCTGTTCTTCATCATGATCGCAATCCTCCATTTGTAAACTCAATTTCCTCTCATTTGATTTTGCAGCTCTGATGCTTGTCTGACATCTAAGCTGACATTTCCTCGTTTGTCTGTCTTCCTGTCAGAGACGCACGAAGTCAGCTACACGATTATAGAGGTGGGTCAAACTGGTCAAAAGCTGCAAGATTTGTGTTAAATTTATTTATTTTGATACAAATTAATTAATTAAAGCAAGGGAAAAAAATCCAGTAATAACCATATGCATGTTTGAACAAAAATAAATTTAGTTTAGAGGCAAAGGTAGACATTCAGAGAGACTGACGGTGTGGAGGCGGAAGATGCCATGAAGGTATCGATCACAAACAGAAATGTCTTGTATTAAACCTTGAGAAAATTTCATCTCGTCAAGCTTGACTCGTACACTTTATGCCTTTTCAAGGTTTATTAACATATCCTGTGTTGTTCTTTTGAGCAAAAAGGTTGTAGCTTTCTGCAGTAAACTTCAAAAAATCATAAAAAAAAAATAAAAAAAACCCAGAAAATACTATGCCTTAATCAGATTTTTCATTTATTTTATCCGAGTTTGTTTTCAAACGCTCAGCAGAGTAAAACTCTGAACCTTTGTCTCAGCTTTGTGTTCTTGATCTTTAAGGCCACAAAGTGTCAGAGAAACAAGAAGAAACAAAGAGATTCTGCTGCAAATAAAAGTGGATTTTAAACTGGAGCAAACTTTAGTTATTTAAGGATGTTCAAAACCGTGAGTAAAGTCTAAAACTAAAGTTCATAAGAGGACAATAACAAAATACATTTTGCACTGTCTCAAATACTGTATTGTATTGTGTAGTATTATATCCCATTTTATTGCAGTGTCATGTATATAATAATTTCATCAAATTGCATCACATCTGATTGTATTTTATTATATAGTATTGCATTTAATTGTACGATACCTTAATTTCAGTGACACTTAAACCTAATTTACACAGGTTACATTCACACTTAAGGACATTTTCAATTTCAAACTGAAGTGTGATGGCGGCAGCCTTTAAATTATAATGTGACCTGCAGAGTGAATGTAGCCTCAGATGTGATTTCAGATCAATTTTCTGGGTGCAACATTTTTGATTGAAACAATATTTACAGCCTCAACTCACACCAAGACAAGCTCAGTCAATAAAAATGTGTTTCTGTGACAGACGCACTTGTAAAAGGCCTGATTCTCCACCCCACACTTCCATAGGTGCTTACACGCTGCGGGGGTCGAGGTGTGAAATGTCAACACCAGTTTTTTCTGCACAGAAAAGGACAGAGAAAGAAACGGCAGCGAATGATTACCAAAGGATGCGTGAATCAACAGAAGTGCTGAACATAATGTGAGGGAGCTGCACAAAATGCTGACCCACAGGCCAAAAGCTGTAAGCTTAGCACGATATAAGACAGATATAGTGCTCTGGCACGACATTCGGCTGTAAAAGGGCTTGTAGCTCACAGACAATGGGTCCTTATGGACAAGGAGGAGGGATTTATTCCAGTAGACGTGTAATTTTCAGTCCTGTGTGTCTGGTAACATGAGATACCAGATCAATTTGGCTCAGAGGCGAGGTTGGAGAGCAAGACAGAAGCAGAGAGGAAACAGTGAAATCGATAACATGGGAGTGAGTTACTGCAACGCAATATGAAGCCTACGTCACAGCTCTAAAGGTCCAGAACAGTGCAAACAACTTTAATGTAAAAATTAAAATTATTTGGTCTTGATGCATGCTCAATAATCTAGGTAGATAAATCTTACAAGGTTGAGTCAGGTCTTCTGGATGGAAACATTGAAATATTGAAATGTTTTGTCTTTTATCCAAAAGACTTCTTCAGTCTGAGGAGCTGCAAAGACAGTTTGTTGCAGCTCCTCAGACTGAAGAAGTTTTGGATAAAGTGTGAAATGTTTCAACAAAGAAGAATCCATCCAGAAGACCTGACTCAACCTTGTAATAATTATGCTTTTTGTTATTTTTTGTTGTTGTTTATTGGTCACTATGATGCACAGCTCCCTCGTTATCATACGTCAGGTAATACATGGCTTTCGTTGTGAAATACACACATGCACTGCAGCATGTGTGTGTGTGTGTGTACAGTATGTGTAAGTGCCAGAACTGCATGTTTTTGAAATATTGACAAATTGACTATCGTCCCACTTTGGCGGACATGCAAAAGCCCTTTCACAGCATGACTCTTATGAACAACTAACAACTCGTAAACTTTGAAAAATTGTGTCTACTAGACATAAACTGAATATTTTGTATTTAGATACAGAAATAAAATATATTTTTAGTGTTTGAAGGATCAAATATAGTTCTGAATTACATTGCAAGAAGTAAAAAGGTCAGCTTTTGATGTAATCTGGACTTTCTTCATCTGAACAAATAAAGATGCTGTTTTCATGTTTCTATTATTTTCTTTTGGGCAGCATATTTCTCTTTCTGAGAGTAAATAATAGTAAAACTTTAAATTCTGAGCACCAGCTGGCAACATACATTCAGTGAAAAATTACATATAGTAAATATAATCAAGGGGAAAAGGTTTTCTATATAAAAAAAAGTATTTTAAAGCAATTAAAGTTGTCATCAGCCCAAAGTGGGAACGAAAACACAAATGAGAGCAGAATGAAAATTGTGATCAGTTTCATGATGATTAATGCTAAACAGACATCAATAAACAATAAACACACACACATACATAAAGATTAAAAAAGGACATTAAAACTTTTAAACAATGCTTTACATGAACCATTACAGGTTACACAGACTACACATTACAACATTACATAATTCACAGTTTAATAATACTTTGAAAGTAAGTTAGATTAAAATAGCATATACATACAGTATATATATATATATATATATATATATATATATATATATATATATATATAAATGTAAATGAATCATTAAAAATACGAGTGAAAATGCATGACAAAACAACAAAAACAGAAATAAACAATAACACAAACACAAAGGAAGCAAACAAAAGATTTATCCAATCATTAACAGAGTAGGACTGCGAGGGGGGGTGTCAAAGTGAGGATTAAATTATAATTTGTGCCACTATTATTACTTATATTTACTCACCTGGGAAGACTATGTTTAAACACAGAGAGAAGAGACAGAAACACAAAGATAAAACTACATGTCAAGCCCTTCATGAGTAGCCAAACAAACAGATGCAAACTGACATGCTAAGCAGGATGGAAGAGCATCATGAAGCTGTAATGAAGAGAAGTTATGAAACCAGTCAGCTGACTGGCAGACTGAAATGACAGTTCAGATCTATTGAAGTGGAGTTCTGTGGGAAAGTTAGAAATAGTCATTAGATTGAGCTCTGTTTAATTCTGACCAGATTAACACGCTAACAACTAGTCTGAGCGAGATTAACGTGGATCGATGTTGTCTAAAAATAACAATATCATGAATGTAACTGCATTTTTGGTTAATGTTGTTTTGTAAGTCCACAAAAAATGTCATTATAGAAAAGTTATGTATAGTGGTGAGGACTATTTTGTTAAATTTACTGTGCTCCAGTGCGTCCTTCAGGTTTTTAGATATTGCTCATGTGTTTACAATGCCTGGAGGCTTTTTGTTCAATATAGCTGTGTTTTAGATGTTGTATTTCAAATTTTACAAATACACTTCACTGCTGGATGAAGACATGCTGCCATGCTTGTCTAGATTTTTAAATGTCTTCTGCCAGCTCACATCTGCACTCATATGCATCATGGAGATTTATTAAAGCTGGACACAAAACTGGGAGCCAGAAGTTGAAGCGCTCTGAATGAGAGCCGTCTAGTTGCTGGATGCAGTATAATTTTGAACTCGCATTCTTCCATGTAAACAAACGGAACATCTTTCTGACAATAAATAAAATGCAACAAGAACAACATTTCTACACCGCCTTACAACCTAGCGGTTTATTTTTGCAGCTTTTCTTTTTCATTACCATTTTATTTTCACTTGTTAAAAAAAATCTCAATTTTACGCATCTTTTATGATTGTCTATTGTTGTCGTTGTTTTCCATTGTTGTCATCGTTCTTCGTTAAAATCAGGTCTCTCTTGTAAATGAGTCCTTGAGGCTCATTGGGATTAACCTGTATAAATAAAGGTTTAATTAATGAAAATTTCAAATAATTTATTCCAGGTGCTAATTTTTGTTATTTAATAGCTTCCTCCCATATATTTAGATGTACAAAGTAATTAGTCATTTGAGGTAGCAGAAGTGGAATGCTGCATTGTGACTGACACGCACAGCCTGTTAGCAGGTTGGGAGGGTTTAGCTTCATTTGTGAGCAAGGTAAGACTACGCTTCTCCCATCTTTATTAATGCCAATGGTTTGTGTCATATGTGCAAATATAAACCACTAATGCAGAAACTCGACCTTCTCAAGAGTCAAGTATTAATTCAGAGGCATTAACTACAAAACTGCAAATAAAAATGTTTATAACAACACAAAGACAATCTTGACAAAGAATACAGGACCATCATAAACCATAACATGGTTGATACATTTCAAGAAATAGTGCTTACTGCTGTGTAGCTATGCTTTGATGACTTGAATATCTTTGCTATCAGCTATGGTCAAAACATTGGCACAAAACAATAACTAGGAATTAAAGAGTGCCAACATTTATTGCTTTTCTCACTGATAAAGGCAAAGAACTGGTCTTCATCTCTGAATAGTTTAGGTCTAGTTGACTCATTGAGGTTAGGATTACACAACTTATAAAACCACACATCTATTTAGCAAGAACATATAGCAGCAGCAGCTAGCACTTCATATGCGGCCCAAAACACTTCCTGCAGGAATGTCATATTTCTGTAAGACTAATGTAAAATTCACAATAATGTAAAGATTTACAAGCTGAAATTCACAGAGATTGAAGTTGTTTAAGATGGCAGAAATCCTTGAGGTCATCATTCTGATCAGAATTGAACTCGGCTTCTTCAAAATGAGGTTGTTCAAAAAGCTATTTACAACAGGTAAGATTATGCTTACTCATAACCTTTCCACATAACCCCACTGCACACATCTGAACCATCCCTTTTAAAGAGAAAGCTTCATTACAATTCGCAAACTATTTGCAAAATGCAAGTATTCTCAAGGCTCTCAGTATCTACCACAGCCCCTCTGGAGGATTTAAACCAAGATGAAGCATGTGTTCTAACATGTACGACATCTGCTGCAGTGAGATCAACTTATGAGGTTATAAATCTCTGTGATGGACAGTCAAACACAAATGTGAGAGAGGAAAGTAGTTGTAACACACCCACCATCCTGTTACAGTGAATCCTGCCTGTTAAGGAGATCTGAAACAGCGACACACATATAGGTTGTGTGTGATGGTGGACAGGATTACAAACAGCACAGTTTATCTATGGGGTAGGAACACAATCAAAATAAACGTGCATGTAAAGACAAATGTGTGAATATTAGTCAACAGTTGTGCATAACTAGAATTTGTAAACATTTAAAAAAGTTAAATCACATACACAACATGTATTGTATATTGTCTTTATCCCTCCATCCATTATCTTTACCCGCGGTGGACTTAAAATAAGGTACACAAAATTTAATTAACTAGTAGGGAACGCCTCAGGAACGAATCAGGAACAAACCAGGAGCTAATAGGTAGTTAATCAGTACTTACTGGGGAGCACACAGCCAAGCCTGATTAAGGGACTACTGGTTAGTTACCTGGGAAACAAAGAGGAACTAATCAGGAGCTAATGGGTAGTTAACCAGTACTTTCTGGAGAACACACAGCCACGCTTTATTAGGGGACTACTGGTCTGTTACCACAGAAACAGAGGAGAAATTATCCATTTGGGTTCTGAATAAACCCTGCACCAGTGAGGCCCATAGTTCTTGATTTGCTCCTCTTCATTTACAAGGTAACTAACCAGTAGTCCCCTGATAAGGCTTGACTGTGTGTTCCCTGGTAAGTACTGGTTAACTACCCATTAGCTCCTGGTTTGTTTCTGAGGCGTTCCATAATAGTTCATCAAATTTTGTGTACCTTATTGTAAAGTGTTACTGTGGGAGGAAACTGGAGTTCCTGGTGAAAACCCACTCATGCATGAAGAGAACATGCAAACTCCACCCAGATTGTTCCCCTGGCCAGGATTTGATCTGGCGACCTTCTCCCTAAGAGGTGGCAGCTCCATCAACTGCATCACCGTGCCACCGTATTTTCTTTATAAAAATACAGTTTTAAAAGTTACAACTTCACGAACTTCAAAACCCAAAGCTCAAGTTTACAGTTGTGGTTTACTCTTTTTGAACACAAAGAATGACTGTGAATATAATGTTTTTCTACGAGAATACAAATTTACAACTGTGATACGTGGCTGGGTCACAGGCTGGTTAATGGAGCACAGAACACATCGATATGTGTTGCACATGCGTTCTAAATGATTTCTCCATTTCATCTTAATAGCGCCAATATGACAGACCAAGAAACAACGAAACAAAGTCAAGTAATGTTAAACAATTAAATGTTATTAGTTCATCTTATTTTTTATATATTAATTACAAAATATAGGATAATAGAAACTAATTTTTTATGCAGCTTTGCATGCTATGTAACTTTATTTAATTAATGACAGAAGCTATCATCCACCTCATCTATTTATAGTTTCTAACAGATATTTGCTCAGCCACATAAAGCCATAAATAAACAAGCTGTAGTTTTCACAGTTATGTCATGAGTGTTTATTTCCTGATTGCCATTGCCCAGTGAAAATCTCATGTGTTTTTGTATTTTTAGTAATTTCAAGGTCGTTGCTGCACTTTTCTACTTTGTTCATGCCATATCTTTAAAAAGCCAACATGTTTTATTCATACTTGTACAAAGCTGAATGAATAACAAGTATTTTAATGTGCACTATATATAAATAGTCTGATGTTTGCAGGAATAACTGCCGAGACATGCAATGGAAATCTTTTGTCAAAAATTAAGGAAGTTCTAGATCAGGCACATTTAGATTTGGACTATTTTCAGTACGTTATAAATCAGGATGTGTTTATTAAGACATCTGTATTAACTGTTCTTGATATTGACGTAATGTGGTGTATTTTAATCCTTCAAGGAAAGATTCATGCCACCCTTTCTCAGGCTGAACCTTGTGTTCTTGTTAAGTTCAATTAACTCAAACTTTAAAAGGATTACCTCTGAATGTGTGAAGCTCTGTTACTGTGAGAGAATGGTTCCCTAAAACCAGCCAGTATAAACTGGAGTTCATCTCCTTTGGGTGTTTTTGAATGTCGTATATTAAGGAGAAAAAAAACAAAAAACTAGAAAACACTTTTGTGGTCTTGCATATGGTGCAAAGCGTCTTTTGCCCTTTGCCTCTCTGCAAAAAAGCCTACAAATGTAATTAAATGACAGGAAAAATTACTTTAGACAATATCGGACGCCTACAAGAATTGAAGAAAATGAGGAATACAAAACGATCCACATCTAATAATAGTTACACAGACGGTGACTAAACATACTGAGCCATTTCTTGATGCACTGACTGGAGACACTGCACTGAGGACACCTTCCTAGTTGTCCTGATGGTGGAGCTGTCTCTGTTTGGGCTGTCTGTCCCTCAACAGACTGTCTTATACTGTCCTGGCCTGACAGACCCTGGAGAACTCAACCTTGTGTTTACACCATGTGTGCCGTGTTTCGGATATCCACTAACTGGACCTAAGAAGCCAATAAAGTCACATGCCTGAGAAGAAGCTACAAAAAAAATTACGTATATAAATAAGATAAAGAAAATTTACAGTACACGTTGTGTATGTGATTTAACTTTGTTAAATTGTGCACACATTTCTGTTTTTACACACAGATTTATTTTGATAGTGTTCTTACCCCATATTTATCTGACATTACACAGATGGAGAGGGAGAAGAGGGAGAGGCAGAGGGGAAGAAAGATGACAGAACGACAGACGACAAGTTCAGTTTGAGTTCACAAACACAGAAATAGCTGTGCGTCTAAATCTACATCACAGTTTCTGCAGGGGTACAAATGTTGGAGGTCGGGATTATTGATTCCACATGACGGTGAAAACGACTTGTGCAAGTTTTCCCAATTTATCATCACGATGATGTGAATTACACGTCGCATGCTGCGCGTCATTTTTAGCCTTTCAGAGACAAAACATTCACCTCTTTCTGGATCCCGATGACATAAAAAGTTTTCCCTTCAAACTTCAGCTTGCTAACATCAGCCCTGCAAAAACCACAGGGGATTAATGAAAAACCCAGTCATGAGTCAGAATACAATATACCCACACTTGTTTTGACAAACTGTATATGAAATGATATATTACAGTTATTGACAGTTTTTTTTTAATTTATTTATCATGTATCAGTAATTCAGTGAATAAAGGATATAAAGTGATAAACTCACAAACACAAAGTTTTATTTATATTTTTACTTGGATCTTCCAGTTTACTGTACAATAAAATTGTGTGACATATAAAAACATCACCAAATGTTCCTGCATCATCTTAACAAAATTAAATTACACAAACAGTGTACATTTGTTAAGACAGGTTAATACTTAAGACTTAAAGTTGTACCATTTGAGGAGGTGAATCCTCTTGTTTCCCTGGAAAACCACAAAACCTGTGGCTGTGAAACCCAGAAAGGCGGTCGCACCAGTGAAATCCTGGAAAAACACACACACACACACACACACACACACATTGTGTGTGTTATGTGATTTAGTTAAGCCAACAGATGGGAAGTCAATGGGGCTTTATGCTAATGTTAAAAAAATAATAAAAAAATCAGGATTTTTTCTAAATTTAACATTTAGATGTTGTAAACTTTTAATGTATACAGAATAAATGGACTCATTTCATGTTTGAGCCTAAATTAACTATTCACAACAAGCTTCTGTCATTATTACATCGTTACTTATTCTGAATTTTTCCTGGAGTGCAGCTCTTTATTTGAATATAAATGCACCTTTTATGTTCACAAGTTGTCCTAACCTGTCAGGTTGTCTTGGATTTAAAAAAAAACTAAAAAAACAAGAGTTTTAACATAACATAGTTTTCATTATAACAGAAACGATCATTGTGACCGTTACGAGATGCTTTAATTATTTCAGACACTTTATTGCTGAGTGGATCAAAGACAAAGAATTTTTCATACTTAATTCACAGTGACAGTTATTACTGTGCAACAGAAAACCACAGTGAAGAAAAGGTGGACACATGACATGAAGCCTTAAAATCCCCGTAATTTATGCAAATTTATATCAACAGCAATCATTTGGCTAAAACGTGGAAAACAAGGCAGTTGATGTGACTGACTATAAAAACATCATTAATTAAAAGCCAAGCATTTCTTGAAGAAATGCATATCGCCCGCTGTCTTTTATGATAAAGTTTTAGACTAAGATCTTTTATGATAGTAGCCGTTTTGGTCAAACCTGGAAAATAACATTCATGCTTCATAAGAAATTTTGCCAACAGCCAACAACCTTTCTGTAGCAAGCAATAATATTTATTAGTCTCACAGTCAGTGTTGATCATCTGTTTAATTCACCTTGCATGGATGTGGGTCGACTCCATACGTTTCCAGGGTGTATGCCCTTTGCAACATGTTCAGCTCTGCTAGTGCTGCACACTGGTCCCTAAAAGATAAGCAAGTCATGTTCAAGGTGCATCTTCTACTCATTAAATCATTAGTGCTTTTAAAATTAAAATGTGATTTCTAACATAAAACATCTTGGCTGTGGAAACCACCTCCACAGCTCAGCGTGAACCTGTATCCTGTAAATCCTGTCAGAGGAGACAGGGGCCACTTGTGAGGGATTTGCCATTGATGTGCTCAAATCTTTGCAAGTGTGACGGTCGCAAGGCTCCCAAAGTCAATGATCGCAGGAGACATATGCAAACACCCCAACAGACATAGGGCCAGTGGAGAGGATTTAAATGATATATAAATGGTAAATTACATAAATATATTTATAAAATGTAAACTTATAAAACAAGAGCTTAATCTGTCACAAAAGTAGTAGAAGTTTTATTCATTATATTACTTAGTAATTTTCTTTAAACCTTTTTTTTAACTACTTTAAAGGCAAGGCACTGAAAAACTCAATATTTACTGCTTATGCCTCTGCTCATTTTATTCAATTCAGTTTAAACTGAATTTTTGACAAACCCTCAATCTAAAGTACGATCATTCTGGGTGTCTCGCTTTTCTTTGTCTCCAGTTAAAATGACAGACAGTTAAATTGTCTGCAGAATGAGCATCACAGCCTGTTCTACCAACACAGATCACAGGAGTGAGCATCTGCTGTCGTCGTCTTCAAACTGATAACAAAGAACAACAAACATCTCCACCAGTCATTCGAAAGTCTTCATGTCGTTTTCTGACCTGAGCTCATTCTTGTGTATTTCCATAATCTTCCTCTCCAGTTTGAGGGATTGTTTGGGGAACAGTTTAAAGTCTCTGATATAGTCTGATGGGTGCTCCTCCGGATCGTAGTCTCCAAGCTCAGCTGTAAGAAAAGAAACTAAAGTTTATATCAACTCTGCAACGGAAAACAACAAGATTTCCTGGAATTTCATGTATATATATATAAACAGACTTTATATATATACACACACATATATATATATATATATATATATATATATATATATATATATATATATATATATATATATATATATATATATAGTCTGTTTTATGACTTTGCATAGAAATAATGTTTGCGTGAGATTCAGTCAAGATTTAGACATTAATTTAACACAAAACTAAAGTGGATTAAAAATCCAAATAACATACAGTACTTATGACTTGTGTCTGTAATTGTACCGCTGAATATCAGGACTTTGTTCAATACAATCAGTCAAAAGATTCTTTAACAGAGACTTGAACAAGTTGTTTAAATTAAAGAAAATAATTTAATCTGGTTTAAATCATATCACAAGGACACAATTTGTTGTTGAAAACAAACAATTTTTTTTCACTTATCAAAGTCGTGGAGTTCTACAGGGTTCTGTGTTTGTTCCATAATATTTTATATGTTCTTCCATTTGGTAATATCCCATGCAACAGCAAAAGTTTCAATTGTTAGACAAATTTTCCATTATTTTTACTCTTGAATTCATATGACATAAAATGACAATAAAGAAACTTTGACCTTGTGTCATGAACCAGAGGCCGGATCGCAAACAACAACAACAACCACTGAGAGGGTATGGCCGGCTGGCTGGCCCCTTTCCTGTGGTGGGGGCTCGCTCCCGGTGCTTCCTGGCACTGTCGGCGGTTGGGCGGGCGCTCTTGGCTGGGTCGTCCTGGTGGGGTTTGGCTCCATCTGGTAGCGGGCTGACTGCGGTCTGTGGGGGTCCTGGTGGCCCTCGGGTGTGTAGGCTGCTGGTGCAGCTTCTGGCGGCCCTCGGGGCTCTGTCCCTCTCTGGTCTGGAGCTCAGCGGGCCTGACGGTCGGTCCAGATGGAGAGGTGTCTTGGCCTCAATCCCTGGGTGGACCTTGGGGGGCTGGGGGGGGGGGG